ATTAGATATTATAAAATGCAATGCACGAAAAAACTAAAATTAATATTAAGGGTCACAAACTTCCGACTATTCTCTTGTTTGAACTGAGGCGATATTTTTCAGATTGCAGTTGCCCCTCTGATTTTGGAAATTCATTGGTGCTAATTAATTAATATATTTAAAATCCATCCTTCAAAGCAGTAACGGATGAAAAATTAATATTTAAATTAAAAATTATTTAATGAGGTTATTTTCTCTCTCTCTCTCTCTCTGTCTTTGTGCGTATTTTTTCCTCATAAAATAAAGTAATATTTTTTCGTTTTTTCTTTCCAGTATAATTTGTATGGGGAGGCAGTAATAAAAGCCTGCATTGAAGCTGGAACTCATCACATAGACCTCAGTGCTGAAACAAAGGTTGTTTATTATTATTTATATCTCTCATAATTTTGTTCCATTAAAGACAATAGTAGGGGAGANCGTTTTTTCTTTCCAGTATAATTTGTATGGGGAGGCAGTAATAAAAGCCTGCATTGAAGCTGGAACTCATCACATAGACCTCAGTGCTGAAACAAAGGTTGTTTATTATTTTATTATTATTTATATCTCTCATAATTTTGTTCCATTAAAGACAATAGTACTTTTAAAAGGAATTGTTTTATGCAAGAAGAATACGCATACGAATCTGATTTTAATATTCTGTTAAAATTTATTTTTTCAGATTGGTATATTTTGTTAATATTTCTCTTGCTAGGTTGAAACTCTGTATTAATGACTTATTTTGTAGAGGAAAGAAAACTTATTTTTGTATAAAAAAAAACTAATTTTAATTTGTTGTTGGAAATTCAATGTATTATAATAAAAAAAGAATTTTGCTTGTACGTCTATTTTAACTTCTAAACCTTTTGCGCTAGATCCTGAAATTTGGAAATTGGAGGTGAGGGGCAATCTTAACCCCGATATTCAAAATTGTTCAAAAATTATAATTAGTGCTTTCGGGAGGGACTTTTGGAAAAATTTACCTAATAGTTTATCATTATGCATTGTTGAAGGACAATTCTGTTTTCATAATTACCAGAAAAATAACACCAGAAATATTTGCTAGCTTATAGCTCTAATGAATTAAAAGAAATTAACACTGAAGTACATTGTTCATTCTTTAATAATTAATTATTTCTTATTCGTTATTCCAGAACCTCACGTAACAAAGTGAAGAAGCTACTGGTAACCATGAATTTATTTTGTTTATAATTAAATTTCTGAATCGTATTTTTTCTTCCATTTTTTAAAAAAAAGAGAAATAATGCAAAATTACTGATAATTGAAGTAAGAAAAAATAAATTAAGGACAAAAATTTAAATTTAGAAGGAAAATTGCTGGATTGTGATTAATTGTGACTATCATAAGTCAGCAGACATCAATAACATCTTCTTCGGGTTCCGAATAATACTAGGAATAATTAAATTTTCTTTTAACGAATCTTCCATGAAGTGCTTTTCTTAATCTAATAAACTGAAGCCACTGGAAAGGGCAACTGATAATAATACTAACAATAATATAGAATTATTTTAAACTTCTAAATTGCTTTCCGTCTTGTACGTGATGGCTAATGCTCATAATTACCGACTTAATAATTTGCTTTTCTCATCCCTACGAAGAGCAGGTATCCAGCCTATTTATAANGAGGGAATGACATATTGGTATATTTTTATTACCTAAAATTAATAAAAAATAAAAATTGATAATTTTATTTTTATTCTTTTGTTAGCTTGCATTCTGAAGGACACTTTCCATGATTTTTTTTTCTTTGTAAGCTGTAAAACAAACATAAAATATACTGGGGACATGAAAATGACTGTTTTTGTGAGAATGACCCATATATAAAATGCAATTGAAAATATTAATAAGTCGAAATTAATTAATACTTTTTATTCCGATAGTATTTAGAAGAAACGCAAACGCAATACTTTCAAGCTGCTCGAGAAAAAAATGTATACATTGTGCTAGCTTGTGGAATGGGATTTCTTATTGATGATTATGGAATTAGTGCCTTAAAGAAACATTTCCCTGGTAAGCAAAAATTTCAGTCCGAATCTTAATTCTAATAATTTCTAGAAAATTTAAACAATTCCCTTGAATTATTCATTATATTTTTTCGTAATTCCTTTGAGTCACATTATCAATAAACATTAATAATAATTCTTCAAATGCTCTTTTTCTCAATATACGAAGTAACGCTATTTAATAACCAATATGATACTTTTAAAGCTGTTGTGAGTTCAAGTCTTGAATGTTCAGTTAACTTTATCCATCTCAAACCAGCGTCATACTGATTGGGAAAATGGGACAAAATGTCAATATAAAGAAAAACACAGTTTTCAAAAATTGAAGAGTGTTTGTAGTTTATTTTTCAAAATTTAAAATAACTATTCCAGCACTGCATTGTTTGTGCAATGCAGAAAACAAGAATTATTCCTAGATTTTATTGATTTTCCTATTACTGGATAGCCTTACAAATTTGGTAATTGTTTAACAAAATTTCAATATTCGATTTTTGATTTATGTGAAATATTTATCTGCTTCAGAATCCAAATAATTCGTATTGATAAGATAGATTCAGTGTGAAGGTACTGAAACTTCAACTATTAAATTTTTCTTGATGAAAGGTTTTCAAAAAAGAAAAAGTGTAATGTTTCATTTGATAATATTTATTTTTTACACATTGAGCTTATTTTCATTCATTTATGTTTCAGTATTTCAAAAGCTTAATTACTATGATTGAAAAAAAAATTTCTTGAGAAATTTTTCTTTTCAATAAATTGATTATTTTTATTGGCATAAAAAATGCTCAGAGGAATTATTTTTTTATTATCGTTTTATGTGTTATAGTATTTATGATTTATTGATTTTATGAGTAAAATCTAAATTTTTGTTTTAATATTTTGCTTAGGATTAGTAGTTTCGGCAATGTTAATAATAAGTGTTCAAGCAATCCCTCATGAATAAATTTATTTTTCAGCATATAAATAAAATTATAAGAATACTTTTCTCTTAAGATCTCGCATTAATATAAAATTTAAAAGTTTTTCAAATATTTTGCCTTGCTGCCTTGATTTTGAAATTTATTTTTTAAATAAAAGAAACATTTTCTAGATAGAATCTTAATGATTTTTCAGCTGATTTCATGTCATTTTAAGTCCAATTCAAAATTAATTTTTCGCTATGTTCATAAAAAGTGTTAAAGTAATTCAATATGAACTAATTCATTTTTCAGCACTTAAATATGGTAAGAATATTTTTCTCTTGAGAATTCACATAAATTTAGAATTAAAATTTTTTTTTAACATTTTGCCTTGTATCCTTAATTTTTAAATTTATTTTTAAAATTAAAGAAAAGATTTCTAGATAAGAATTCTTGAAGTTTTTCAGGCTGATTCACGATTTTTTTTTGAATTATATTTTACTTTATTATACTTTTAAAAATTGCGACTTCGGCTTTGCTGCCGCTTAAAACTTGATTAGTAATTATCTAGAAAAGAATTTTTAATAGTTTTTTAGCTAATTTCATAGACAATATGTATATTAATGTATATTAAGACTATTTGAAACTTGTTTTAAAACTTTTTACCGTAAAGCTTGTATTCTGCATATTTGTTAAATTCACATAGATGAATAAAGTTTATGCGAAATGTATGTGATATAGGCTTATATAATCCTGATTTTTAATTTTTTTATTATAACAAGGAAAAATTAGGGAACTAAAGTTATTTCAGTTTTTTTTTAATTTCCTAATGAATAACTAGATTTGTCAGGATATCTAATTTTTAAAAAATACTTTTAATAGCCTTAAAAGTAAAATACTATTTTTTAATTGAATAATAAACTGAATAAATTTAAGTTTTACGAATTTTATATTGGTAATAACTTATTTTAATTGTAGGGGATTTGAATGCTGTGGAATATTTTGAAACTTTAAAAATAGGACCTGACGTAAGTAAAAATCTTTTTTGATATTTTGTGCAAACTTTTCTTAATCTAAGTTCATTATGTAACTGAAATATAAATCGATATTTTCCTTACGTATTTATATTCTAACTGAAAATAACTAAATCTATTGTTGGATTTAGTGCTAAAACCAACTCGATCAAACTTTTTTAGTTCTAAAACTAATTGAAAATAGTAATCTCCATAGAGTATTCTTTATATTTCTTAATTGAATCTGATTTAATTTTTTCATTATTTCCTTTTTTTTTTAAAAAAATGTTTTTAATTTACTTTACTTTATTTGGTTAACTTTATTTTATTCATTTTTATTTTTTAAAGAACTCTGGTCGTTCTATCGCCAAGAAAATTATCATTCCAATTTTTCAGTGCACTTGATTCACGTTCAAATAATATAGATGAATTATATTGCTTGAGCATGACATTTGTTTAAGCAGTTTAAACTACGCAATTGAAATTATTCAAAAGGAAATTAAGTTCTTTTTCTTAGTTATTACAAGTTCTTAGAAATGAAATTTCAAAAATATCGTAATTATAAATTTTCATTTCTCATGAACTAATTGACCGACTCCATTCAAATGTTGGATTTTGTCGTTTAAAGTTACATATTTATCATTTTAAATGATATAAAATTGCATAAATTAATTACTGTATAATTTAAAAAAAGTGTTTTCCTCTCTAGAATTCTTTTGGAATAAATGCGTTTCATAATTGTATGCGAAACGGTTTATATTTTCTTAATGAATAACAAAGGTATTGCAAAATATGCAAAAAGTAAAATAAACATTAAGGATTTCAAGCTTTGGACCATCACTCTCTTACTTAAATATTTTAAATTGAGACTGCATTTTTTTTAAAGTTTTACTATGGCTATTCCTCGTATATCAAAGTTAAAAATTCGTTCCATAAGTTCCATTTTTGATATTTAGTAAAACTAAAATTTTTAGTTACAGTGTGAAAGGATACACATAATAAGTAAAGTTAAGTAAGTTTATAATGTAACGATATAATGTAGCGTAAAAATTATTATTTTGGAATGTGCATCGATACAATATTTTTAAAATAAAGTCAGTTTGATCATAAAACATACACACAGCACAAAGAGAATATTAATATAAACTCAAACTAGGCTTAAGAAAAACGAAGCAGATGAAAATTAAATATTTAAAAAATTTCTAATAATTATTTAATACAATTGATACATTTGCGTAAATCTTCTAATGAGAATATAATCATCTTTATTATACAACTATGAACATTCGAGCCTTTTTATTACCACGTTTATATTAATTTGCCTTCGTGTATGTCTGTTCGGGTGGAATTTTGTAATCGATTTTAAACTAGCTTCCGGACTAGCTACAGACTTCAAATTTGGCACATAGTTCAGAATTGGATGACAATGCATGAAAAAGAAGAGAAAGAAGACATACAAAGTAAAATAAAATTAAAATTAAGGAAAAAATAATATTTTCATGGTTGTCTTTGATGCCGATTCGATTATTTCAAATTAGTGTCACATGTCAGTTGTAAAGTTTCGTGTACAGTGAGTGAAAAAATTGAGATTTTGGAAGTGAGTACCAAAAAAAAAAAAAAATAAGAATAATAATATTTTTTTAAAAACCACGTTGTTGTATCGAAGAATAATAATTAAAAAATAGAAGTTTGAAAAACGAAAAACGTTGGGCGCATAAAATACATAGCAGTACATATACATATACACATTTTCCTGCTCATACACATGCGCAGCCACATGCACATCCGCATATACATCCACATACACATGCATATACACAAACATATTCCACATACATATCCACATTCAGATACAATTAAAATTACAGATATACGTACACATATTCTCATGAGCACACATGCACACACTAATATAACATTACTGTTATGTATTTCATGCACCGCACGTTTTTTGTTTTTCAAATTTTTATTTTTTAATTATTATTCTCCACTACAAAAACGTGGTTTTTAAAAATATTATTATTATTTTGTTTATTTTTGCTTAACGCACATTTCTATCAAAGTGAAGTTATAAATTAAAATGAGCTAAACTTTCTAAGCAGCTAGAATAATTTGTTTTAAATTTCATTCATTGATTTTTCTTGTTTTTATTTATTTCCTAAGTCAGACTTTTTAGAATAAATTTGAAATAGTACATTATTATTTTGCAATGCAGTATTTTTATTNATTATTAATTTTAATTAGCGGATGAGTAGGTAAAGAAGTTCACTACTCGAAATACATTTAATGAAAGTTGTGAAAATACAGAATTATGGAGGTAATAATATATAATTTTTTTTATCTTAGTTTTATTACGACCTTCTAAAAAACGCTAATAAACACAATTATGTCAACAGATACAAACGATTATGTCAGAGCTATAACAAAAAAATACGCTTTATATTTCATTAAATGCAGAAGAATCTAATGAAGATCAGCTTATTTAAAACTCTGAAATGTCACACCCATATGTAACTTGGTGAATGATAGATAAGTGATACCAAAAAACAAAACAAAAACATAAGCACACAGCTGTTTGGCGATTTGCGAGAACGTTCGTTTAACGCCAATTGAAAGTTTCGCCAACCCTTTTATAATCTACGGTATGTTTTGTCAATACGCATACGGGAGTGCAAACAAGTGCAATAAAGAACTGTTTAATGGAGATTTCAAAATATACATATGTTGTACTGTAATTTGACTCATTTTACCTTGACTTGCAGTGCATCTTAACACTTATTGTATCTTAACACTGAAAATGGTGGCAACTACTTCACACCAAAAAGTTTTGTGGTAAAGCATCAAAGATAATTCTTGGTGTAATCGAAAAATGACAGCTCTTTGCGTAGTGAAATACCAGGAAAGTTCATCTACACTACTTTTGGTTGAAAATAGTTGTCCCAATTTTCGATGTTTAATAACAAGAAAGTTTATTATACAATTAGATATAATCCACATAAAGATCAGTAAAATTATTTTTACGATGCAATTAAAAGTAGCTGCGTAAAAAAAGCTGCGTGCAAAACAACAAAAAAATTCCCGCAATCTCTTATGAAAAATGCAAACAATAGATTGACGCTATCAAAATGACGACAAAATTAGCGTTTATGAAAAAGAAAATAATTTAGGAATGGTTTAAATGCATGTGCAGAGCATTGGATGCGAAGATTGATGATGAGTACCTAGGGAATACAGAGAATTTGTCAGTGGAAGAGAAGTGGGAAACATTCAAGAATATTATTATAAACTCAGCTGAAGAAACCTTGGGAAGAGAAGAAAAGGAAAGGGAAAAAGAATGGTATGATGAAGGGTGTGAAATCCTAGTTGATGAAAAGAATAAAGCGAGAGAAAGGCTAATTGCCCACAATGCAAGAAACAACGAAAAAGTGTACAAGGAAAAGAGAAAACTAGCTAAGAGAGTTATTCGTACCAAAAAAAGAACACTGGAAAAAGAAAAGATACAGGAAAAAGGAGGACCTATCTGCGATAGGGGACATCTGTGGAATGTATGCAAAATTAACTTCCACGAAAAGAGGGTACCAACCACGAACCACACTTTGTCGTGGAAAAAATGGAATCTTGGTTGGAAAAGAAGACGAAATTTTGGAAACGTGGGCAGAACATTTTGAAAGCCTTTTAAACAGAAATGAAGTAATTGGACAAACGGAAGGTGAACTAGTTACATCAGAGAATGATTGTGAACCGTTAGAGATGGAGGAAGTTAAAGAAGCAATTAAAAAGTTACGTAATGAAAAGCACCTGGAGAAGATTTAATTTTCCCAGAACTAATAAAATATGGCATTGAGAAGTTATCCAAAATGGTGTATGACCTTGTAAATGAAGTCTGGGAGAATGAACAGATACCAAACGAATGAAACAGCGCAGTGATATGCCCAATTTTGAAAAAGGGAAACA